TCTGAAATTCTTGCTTGATAAATAACCATAAAGATTAATTGATTATCAAAACGGTTGTGCATCCATTTTGTGTCCATCAATTCTTTGTCAGTTAATGAATTGTCTCCACACCAGTGTTAGGCTAGTTACTCTACTAAAAATGTATTTATTACTCATTCTACTCATTTAAAGATTGGGGAGAAGGGACAAAATAAGTAGCATAAATGTAATATAGGTAGTAGTGTAACTAATTACTGTTGACAGGGAGTAATTAGAAACGAGTAATAAATAACTCACAAGACTAATATTAGTTTACATATTACTCCTTGCCAACAGTAATTAGTTACACTCCTACCTATATTACATTTCTGCTACTTATTGTGCCCCTTCTCTCCATAATTGATGTGCTTAAAATCCAAGTTTTATTTATTAAAACCAAAGCAATGGGAGTATTTCCAGCTGCTGAACGTAAGCGTTTACAAAAATGAATCCAAGGATATAACTGGATTATTTAGATCAACAAAAGTAATGATGTAACTCATATTCTTTTAGGGGGTTGTTAACTGAAACAATGTTGAATATGTATTAGTAATCAGTTACACTACTAGTTCCTGCACACTGCTACACTCTGCAGTAAAGTACCACAGCTCATTTGTACTAAATACTACCTACCAGCCTTTTTGATTGCGGTGACTGGATGAATAATTGATCCTCTTTTCTCCTCCCTGTCTGTTTTTGCTATCACAGATACTGGGTAGAGGAGGAAGAGGAAGAGGAGGAAGAGGAGGAGGAGGAAGAGGAGGAGGAGGTGGTTGGAGCTGCTGCTGCTGGGATGGGAAACAGGAAGTGAACGTCACTGACACAGGAATGGGACTGAAAAAAGAAAACACCATCATGATGAGGAGAATGTCAAATCCACCACCGGTGTAAAGGAAACAAAAAACCCCTCAGTTTCAACTCAGGAAGAGGATGAATTGTTGTGTCCGAGCTGGATTTGAGGCATCAGGAAGGTACGTCGCTCCGGTTTTAATCATAATAACAATAATTACTATTATTATTAGCGGTTAATGAGGGGTTAGCTCACTGTGTGTGTGTTTGAAACCAGAGATATATGTGTGTGTGTGTGTCACCATCCGAGGCCATCCGTCCATACATCCATCCTCTTGTGGCTGTCACGTTTGTTGAGCTCACAGGTTGATTTTTAACATCCCTCTTGTTGCTGTGGCCGAGCTGCCGCGCTAGTTAGCTCCCTGGTTAGCTTGCAGGCTAACTTGCACTGTTCAATTGCATATGCACCGTTAGCTTGTGTGCAATATATATATATATTTATATATTTATATATTTATTTTTTGGGTGGTTTTTATTCGAGGCTTTGGTGGACTCAGGCCTGCAGCCAGAGGACACACTGCACAGTCCCGACTGCTGCATGCAAACAGTTCCCCCTCTGTGATGTGCTTTTATTTTTTAAATTTTTTGGCTTTATTTTCACCATGTAATGCAGCATGCACGGCTAACCCTGCTGGACAGGACTGTGTGTGAGATTGTGTTCACCATGCTGGATGTGTCATGGTTGTCTATCATCATTGGCACTGAAAAATCAGATCACATGATGGTTATTCTCCTAAAACAGGCTTTTCTCCTGCTGTAAGTCCTATTATGTGGTGCAACCTAATGTCAAAGCTACTATGGAGGGTAAAAAAAGTTGAGCTGGGTATCACATTTATATTTACTGTGGTGTTTTATTTCTAATTTTGAGATTTTATTGTGTAAAATAGCACTACGCATAGTTATTAAGGCTGATTTTTTTTAATTAACATTTGAATGCCAGCTGAAAATGACACAAAATAATAATAATTGGGTGTATAAAGTGCTGGACACATTAAACAATATATAGAACAAACAGTACAAATCAGAAACCCATGTAAGAGCCTTCCTGGCTTTCCATCATCATATAGTTCATTGGCATTTACCACACAATACATAAAACTGATTAAAAGTTATTTTTGAGGCAAGAATTCACACTTTTTGGTTCTTAAAAGTGAATATTTGCTGGATTTCGTCGTCTTCTATTATAGCAAACTGAATATATTTGGGTTCTGGACATTTCCCTGGATACATTTAAATATATCAACTTAGGCAAATATAAAATATATAAATTGTAAAAGTATATTTTTCACCGTTTTCAAACATTTTATAGACCAACCAATTAAGCGGTTAATGCAAAATGTATATATTTGTTTATTTAATGTTTATTTGTATTGGAAAGAGTATATAGTATGAACCACTGCCACATACTACATCATACAGTATATAGACAAATCTCATTAACAGTGCCCATCCCTAGACTTTGGCTGAGGGTGGATAATAACTTATAAGTTGACTTCTCGTCATCAGGTAGTCTGTTGACATCAACTACCTAAACTACTATTATTGGATTTTCGTTATCGATTAGTTGTTCGTCCGATAAAATCCCCTGTGCATGTTCCCAAAATCAAGTTTACAACACTCCTACTTTTGAAGCTGGCAAATGTTTGGCATTTTTGATTGTTGAATAACTTTCACGATTAATCAGTTATCCAATTTTATGTCCGTTTTTCTGTCGATTAACTAATCATTCCAGCACAAGTAAACAGCATGTCAAACATATTGAGGTCAGGAGAATCTGCATTTGTACTCAAGTACAACTCAAGTTAATGTTTCCCTGCTGCTACCTGTTAACTGCACCACTGTTCAGGTGTTACATTATATATATTATAACATATGATTAACCGGCTCTCCTTTCACAGCAGAATCAAGAGTCTGTGGCAGTTTTACTCCTTTCACTCAGTGGTTACAGACGGGTCAGACCAGAGGCACTGCAACACTCCTTATTTGATTTGCTGTCGCTGTTGGTTTAATCAGCGCTCCTGATTGCGTTATGTCCGTCTGGAGTGTTCGCCTTCATTTCGTTAAGCATGACCTTAGAGTTTCATTCACAACCAGACAGTCGAGATGTCACATTCGAGTGTTCATCTACCTTCTGGAGGTAGAAGGTAATATTACAAACGAGAAATGTTTTTGAATCTTGCTAAATAACCGTCTTGACTTTCACTTCCTTGTATGTCTCAGATGAAAACATCAGCCCGGACTTCACATCTCCAGAATGAGATTTCCGTGTTAACACGTGATCTGCTCTTTCTAAATGATTCGCAGCACACGATTACAGCATAGTGAGATACATTAATGACCTTGTTGTGATTCATTTTTCACAGCTAAATGATGTTTTCAATAGAATTAGACCGCTTTTTAAAAATTCTAGGATGCATCCGCTGCTGTCTTTTTCAAGTAAAATGATATTCTCAGGCTGGCGTAGGCTGGATGAAATTGATAGCTGACAAAGCCTCATTGATAGCACACGCACACACTGAAGGATTTCTTGAATGGCTGTATTTCTTTTACTTTCACTGCAGGCCAGATAGGACATGTATTATTCATCTGTCAGCATTCATTTTGTAAAAGTAGGAACTTCCTCTGTCTTCAGTGGCATTTGCAGACATGTTAAACTGGAGCTAACAAAAGTTTCACTAGAAATTAACCGTAGCAAGTTTTTTGTGATTTATTGATTAATCATGAAGTGATGTAGTCTATCAAACAATCCATTTTATTTTCTTACTTAGTCTGATTAGTAGCCAAAAAAGTCAACATTTTCTTTTAATAATAATAAGACAAGCAGGCTAATCTAAGTAAAACTGTAACCAGACTAAGCTCTGTATTTTTATTTTATAATGATCCAAAAAAGTATCAAAAGTAGAGCCCGACAGATCAGTGCTCTCTAACATTAAGCACTTCTTAAAATGTATGTAACTTACTGGCTGAAAAGAACATATAGTACTGATATATCTGTGATGAGCTAGTATGGTGGATTAAATCTGTCCACTAGTTCAATATGAAACTTACTGACCTCCGTTATATGCCTGCAGTATATCTTTTGTTATGTCGTTATTGATACTAACACCTCTATTAATCTGGTGCGCTGAAACAAAAATGCCACATAGAAGCATACATAAAGTACAATACTTGATCTTTTTCAAGGCTTGGAAAGAGGATACTATTAAGAAAATGTATCGCTGTATGCCATTTTCAACATCATATTAACTTAATCGAATAGTCGATTTGCAGTCAGTTGTTGTCAGATGTTAAAGTGAAAACATGTATTTCCAACATGGTCCCAAGAAGACAAAAGAATACAAAGAAGCACAACACAGCCAACATAAAAATCAATGATGATTGCTTTAATGGTTTATTGCTTAAAAGATTGTTTTAAAACAAAAGTAATACAAAAAAATGCTGATGATTTAATGTGAAGATTTACTTTCTTTCACTTATTACAAATCAAATATCATTAGGTTTTTTGTCTGGTGCTTAGACAAAACTATTTTAAAGTCACTTTAGGCTCTGGTCATTTGTTATAATTTTATATTTAATAGACTTAGAATAGAAAAAACCTACCTAACGTATGTTTTTACTATTATCAATTGAATCCACTGAAACCTCTAATTAAAACTTTTAGTATTAATTGTGAAGAGAAACTTCACAATTAATACCGCTGCAAGGTGGATGTTTTGCTACAAAAGCGATCCATATATCGAGCTCCTGCTGCCTTTTTTGAAAGATGCGTGTCAGCTTACTGGCCCCGTCTATGGAGGAGGTGTGAGCCTGTCGGTTAGAGGGAGGGCAAAACGCTGAGTCACATCCCAGCAACAGTCGCCTGGGCAACACCTCCATAGTGACCAGGCGGAGAAAGATAAAGCCCCTTGCTGCTCCACTAGTTGTGTAACATCAGCCGACCCTGCAACGTTTTGTTTCCTCGCTGTTGATTACGCTGCTGTTATCGACCGTATCACACACACACACACACACACACACTCCTCCCTGTCCTTAACTTATCCACGTCCTCAAACACTGAAATGAAATCTGACTCGTAAGGTAGTTCCTCAATAATCAACACACTCCAGTCTCCCTGGCATAATTACTGTTTTGATTACTGTTGCACAGAACGAGAGGAAACACGAACACACATTCTGCAGACCATAAGAGATAGATCATAATTATAGTGATCAGATGTCACCAGCGGAGAGAAATGGGATGAAAAATGACAAGTCTTATTAAAGCAGACCATCGCAGAGCGGCTCGGCAGCACAGTTCATTAAATATCGGAGCTGTCTGTCTAAAAAGATAATTGCACACCTTTAATATGCATTTCATTCTCTCGCTCTTGTTTTGCTGCATGAGATAGCACCCCTGCTGTTAAAACTCAGAGCTAGCACAAAAGCTTCAATTAAAACCCAAACAAACTGGAAGTAAAGAAAGTTTGGTGTTATTAAGCAGGTTTGAATCATGATGATTGTGCAGTGTAACTAGAGGTCAAAGAGCTTTAAAAAAAAAAGGCGATATCATACATGAGTTCACCTAGAAGATCTCTGCCTCGCCATTGACTCTGCCAACAAGCTCAATTGAATTTCCTGGCCTCACTGATTCGATATAGCTCAAAGGGAAGTCCCGTCTCATGGTGAATCATTGTGGTTGTTGGCGCAGGGAAAGTTTCTCTTTCCTCTTTTCCTCACATTATAGAGTTTGTGCCAGAGAGGATTAGTGGTCTTCAGTTTCACTGTTGGCGTTTGCACAAAGCTTTTGTTCAATATAGCTTGTGCTGTGATGTGGTATTACCAACATACCAGAGTGTCTACATTTATTTGTTAGAGGTGAGTGACTTTGACTGCAGCACCCCATGTCTAAAGGGGATGGGGTCGGCGCTGTTGCAGGCCATTTTTAGATATAAAATAAATCTGAATTAAAGCCTGACCAATAATTGGTGTTGCTGCTATACAGGCTGACTGGAACAAATATATGTTTATGGTAGTTTAGAAACAGGGTCGCAATGACAGTGTGTCCACCAGAAGTTTAGATTTCAACTAAAATGTCCCACTCAGTACACATTAAAGTCACAATACTTAAAAACCCTTAAAAAATGTTAAAGGTCACTTTAAAAGTTGTTTGTTCATGGTATGCGTTTATGTAAAACAATGAATTACATATAAATTGATATATATCTTTCAAATATTGACAACGATATATGCCTCATAAGTCCAATATTGGTCAGGCTATTTAAATTAAGTTTATTAAATTAAAGTCGTTTTTTGGTTGAACAATGGTACTTTAACCCTTTGTGGCGTTTTTTTGTGTGTTTCTTTTGGTTGGCCGGCAGAAAACTGCTGCTACCTCTAATGGATTCACAAATTGGAGATGTGATGAATGCCTGTTGTTGTCACAGGGTACCAACGACTGTGACTTACATACTGAAAAGTTGTCCAGCGGTACAATGTGGGGAGGTTAAAAAGGTTATTTTTCATGCAAATTTCCTCTTATGTGTGGGACAATGGTGGAAAACCAATCATGCTTTGATTTTCACATAAAACTGAATCATAGAGTTTTCTACTATAACTCAACTGAACAAAAATTGAGGAAAACTGATGGTTGCAACATCTTCGCAATACTATTATGATATAACTTTAATGAGAAAAATATTGCATGGATGCAAAACTTGCTGTATTATCTCTGATGAGGGTGTTGGATGTGCAGTTTTTTAAAAGCAAACATCAGATAGAAAGCAAATTGCAGTTTTATAAGCTGGTAAGTCAAATATTTGATGCTTGTGAAGATACGTTTTAGCACTGCACTCATTCAACAAAGCTCAGCTCACAAAACGTTAATGTAGAGAATTCTCAGACAGTAAAAATATGTAATATGTTCACCCAGAAACTCACTATCTTTTCAAATGTACCTCAAATAATACAAAATGAAAATACAGTTTGCCTTCTCTTGCCTTGGCGTTCATTTTTATAAACTGTCAGTACACGCTGGATAAAAGCCTTTTTGTTACAAAAGCATTTTTAGAGGAATCCACGTCCTAAATTGATCGAGCCGACTCCAGCTTTTCTTTTTTTTCACTTCCTTTTCATTGTGGCCTTTTGTGAATGTCACTTTCTCAAAGTCCACTGCACGAAAATCAAGACAAGAAATCGTGATCGAGTAGGCAATCGAATCCATTCAGGTTGATATGGAGCGAGCTTAGACATCGATTAGGCCACGGATATAGAGAAATGTGGAGTCGCCTATCACACCATTAAGGATTAGTGAAGATCAGTCAGGCCACAGCAACAGGGCACATTAAATCTTTATCTTTCTCCACAACTCTCTCTCTCTCTCTCGTGACTCATCATGCCCTGAGGTCGATAATCCTATAAATATCTTTAGGTTATCTGTAATTTTCAGGAGTCATTGGGCTGTCATTGTGCTCGGCTCAGTGGAGATCATTTAGGTCACGTCTGTCACTTTGTGGTCACAGAGTCGGATGCAGTTCCCACCTTCTCCACAGGGGGGAGAGGTTTGAGCAAAGGTGAGTTGTTGCTGTGTGTTGATGCAGCTCTGCTCTCTTTGGTGCAGCGCTGTTATCCTTGTTATCATAATCATACTCTCATTGTAGCAAGGATGTCCATGTGTCATTTTAATCCCTCGGTCTATAAATACACCACTTGACTCAGCAGCGACCAGAACGTTATAACATCACTGCCAAATATCTTTAAATGTATGAAACGATACAGACACAACACACTTTCTATTTTAACATTTTACTCCGTTTTTATGTCTAGATGTAACTTCACAACACTTCTTTGAACGGAGGCTAAATTCATCCAGTCAGACCAGTTTTTTGAGCATTTGAATTGTAAAGCCTCCACCCAGTGGGTCTATATTGTTTGAATTAAGATGATCTGATGTTGTAATCCAGTCTCCAAATTCACTGTTCTGCTTTCAAAACCACATTAATTGGAAGAATATCACAGAGATCCACAGCCATTGTACATCTAAAAACACATTTTTAACATCTGAGTCGACAGTACCTTTAATACTTAAGAAATAGAACGCTTTATTTTATAGGTCTGCAATTTCCTAGGAAGTTTTACTAGAGAAAAAACCCAAGTAAATATTTTTTCAATATGTATTTATCGTTGTAAACTTTATTCTCCCTCTATGTTGAATTCCTTGCTTGCCTGTAGACATATTTTACATATATCCTTCTGTAGGTTATACTGTAGTAACTCAGCATGTATTTATCCCAACACGTCTATTTTCTCTACAATTAACACCTGATTACATAGTTCTGTCTTGGAAAAGTATAGACGTGTAAAATAAAGTGTTGCTAATAGGAAGAAAGAGTTAAAAAGGAAAGAATGGTGGCAGTTTCATAGCTGAGATATTGACTTGTCAGATGTGGTTAAGAAGATTTATCGACTGTTTAAAATCTACGATCAATTTTCTTCTTTTTGCATCTCTTGGCTAAGTGGTCCAAATATCTGTTCTAAATCATTCCACCTCATTGCTTTCATGGACGGACGAGGCTTGAGTTCACTTTGGCTCATCATCATCATCACAATCAAACATCCTTTCTCTCCATTATAAAGCACCCTGACAGCCCACATTCGTCTTAAACTCCGAGGGATCACCTGAATCCCTTCTCTCTCTCGTTCCCTCTTTTACTTTATCTTCCGCCACTGTGCGCTCCAGCAGTTAACAATATTTCTGTCAGACTGTTTCTCTAATCTCTAAGCTATTTGCACATTGAAAATGCAGTTGATACCTTTGCATATATTTGGTTTCCCAGTGGAAGCACCAGTTGCTTCATTCTGCAGATATAACAAGACAGGAATGTAATGAGTGGATAAAGTGAATGAACGGTGTGAATGAATGGTGTGTAGTGTGTCGTTCAAAGTTGACTTTTGTCAGACTGAATGTGTGTATGTGTGTGTCCGTCTGTTTACCTGTGAGTCAGTACACACAGGTGACAACCCAACCCTCGTCATCTGTGTCACCTGATAGACTCACTTCACCCTGTAGACTCTATAATCTAGCATCCTCACAAACACGGTGTGTATATCTCCACCACTCCCCCTTCCTTCCCTCCTTCCCTCCTTATCATCCAGGGCACCGGCGCGTTGCTAAATGGAGTCGGAGCAGCTCTACCACAGAGGCTACTGCAGGAACAGCTACAACAGCATCGCCAGCGCCAGCAGCGACGAGGAGCTGCTGGATGGAGCCGGCGTCATCATGGACTTTCACACCACCGAGGACGACAACCTGCTGGATGGGGACGCTGCCTCCCCAGGTAGGGAGTACGGGATACCTCCAAATACCTCCCCCCAGCTGTTTGATTGGCCCTTTTGAGCTCCCCCTCCATGACCCGGGCTTTGACGAACCCCTCCACGACCCTCACTCTCCAATCAGATTCCTTGAATTCTCAGTGAGCGTCCCGTCGTGCTGCGTCTTCCGAGTCCAAAATTGAGTTTATCTTCTGGTCCACAGTTGGCCAGACAAAGCACGCACGTTGCTGCTCTGGTTATGAGTCACTCCGCTGCTGATGTCAAGACGCATCAAGTGTGTGTACGCTCGTGTGTGTGTTGCTTGTCCTATGACGCAGTCCATCTGCCATCTGCCCCTTCCTCATCTCCATCCACACCCGTCGGCTGCTACACGTCGTCTTGTCGTACCCTTACTGACCGCCTCCTGCCTCCAAGCAGCCTCACATATGGTTATAAGTTAACCTATTAACTCAACTTAAATGGAAAAGAAATAAGGCAACAGACAGCCAAAGTCACTTCTTTGTAATCTGCTGATAACAAAATTAGTTCAGATGTCAACTTATTAGCTTTCAGAGGTTTTGATCACATGGTCTTCATTCAGCAAATGGAGCAAGCTCAGGTGACCTAAGTCATGTGATAATAAGTTGAGCAAGGTAACATAAGGTACTTAATAATTTCATATTCACTTTCAGTTAGTTTCCCGAGTGGTTTTCCCCGTATTAGTTGAGTTTTTATTGTTTCAAATTTTTTAGTTTGTATTAGTTTCATTGTAAGTTTAAGTCTAACAGTTTAAGTCTGACCTTAAGTCTCACAATATGGGAGCTATTTGTCAGAGGCAAGATTTAAGACGTTGTTTTAAGGTGTTGTTGAAATTATTTGAATTCAGATACATTTTTTAGGCGTTCCAACCGTTTGTAAGGCTCTCTTAAAACTCATTGTTTTATTTATTTTTTTTAATTTTAAGTCATTTTTTTGCCGCTACAGTCATTTGTTCGGTTTGTCGTTCTGTCCATAACTATAACAGTTCTTGTACCAGATGTTATTTCACATGTTTTCATGGTTTTTCCTGCACTCCTGTATTTTTATTTTTGTGTTTCTCCTGTTTCTATCCACCATATTGACCTGGTCACCTTTTTAGTGTTCTTGCTTCCTGTTTTATGTGTGCTTTGACCTTGCTCATTGTTCCTCCTCTGTCTTTTGTTTCTTGGCTTACGTGGATCGGTCTTTTCTTTCAAGTAGCAATGAAATATGGGTGGTAGTAATAAGACAGTGACAAGTAGCATAGCCTCTGTGTTTTTTGTATTCATGAATGCATCATCGGCTGGCTAAATATAGAAGAGCTTAAATGGAGGTGCCATACGAGTGAGACGCTGTGACTTGAACTTATTAAAAAAATAGAGTGACGTATTTCTTGTGAACTTTTTAAAGAGCGTGTTGTGCCATTGTGTCTTCTGCTGGGTTACATGATGAGTCCTGATCGTTACCTCGTTCATAATAAGACTGCCTGAAGTGATCTCTGCCAGTCTTATGTTGCTTATCTGGCTGCCATGCTACATAATTACAGTCATACCTGTCATTCCAGTACCGTCACCTGTTTCTCATTCATTCAGAAGCTCGGTGGCACCCTGACTGGTATATCTGGTGTCTCATCAACAGCCGATTTGCTGCATCTGGTTTGTTCTTCCTTTTCTGAGTAAATATGCTGATTACTCTGTTTCCCCCCCTTTTTTTACTCTTGACTTGCAGCTGATCAAACAGAAAAAGCGCACACACACCGAGGGGTTGTGTCAGAGGCGTCCGTCGAACTTGGCTCTCCAAATATGAACAGCTTGTATTTAATCAGACTGTTTGATTTGATGTGAAATCACATGGAAGAAGAGCAAACTAGTGTGTTGATGCATGAGATTCAGACGCTATATTCTGTTTAAACTCTGCTTTAAGTGTTTGCTGAGCAATTTGAACTGGATAATTAGGAGTAAGCGCCTTTATTTGAGACAGTTTAAAGTGTTAAGACTAAAGAAACATTACTCAATAATATAAAAAATTTAAATACACATTTGTTTGGAAGGTGAAAGTAAACTGGCCACAATATTATCTGCCACCTCCCTTTTCTGTGGTGCAACTTTCTTCAGTTTAAGCAGTTTGCAGCCGTTCCTGTTTTGCACTGCTGAGGCTGTAGCAAGACTTGCTCTATTGCAGCCTTCTGAATCGAGTGTTATTTGTTATCCTCGGTTATAAGTCATGCGGTACTTGCATGGTTGGTGGGAAAACCCTATTATTTCTGATAAAGTGAACATCTAATGCTCAGAAGCTAAAAACCTATTCGATGGCAGTGCCTGGTATCTCTAGTACTTTAACTTCTCTATAGCACTTTCACACATTTTAAATCATCTGAACACGTAAACAGCTTTTTCACCACCATAAATTTGTATTTTCTTGAGGAATTTACTGTCCTTAAACTTCAAAATTGATCATTTTAGAAACACTACTTACAACAACACTCTGGATGTCTTAAAGTTTATTGCCTACTGACTTCAGTTGTATGATTTCTAAGTGCTCTAAACAGTGATATAACAACTCTACAGTCTAGACTCTGCTTATTCATTATTGAAAAGGAGACTGTGGGTGGGTGACCAGGCTGTTCAGTAGGACACACATAGTTGACTTTAACTGTATGGGAAAACCATGTGCAGCGCAGCAGGATGCAGACAGGAGTGAGACTTTATTGAACAAGATCAAAGTCTAGCTAGCGAGGCTGTAATTCAGGTTGGGCCTGGAGGTAGTGTCAGTGTTGAGTTTTAAGCTGGAGACCAACATTGGTATTTCTACAATCCTAACATTAGCGTTCAGCTTCAAGCACAGTTCGTGGTAACATGCATTTTGGATACCAGGTTAAAGATAAACAATCTTGACACACATCTCTTAGATTTGTTTCTTGTGACCAAGATACATACTGAGCGGGACATTTTACAATGTCAAACTCTGATAGGGGGCTAGACCAATGTCTGTAGGGGAGTTGCTGCTTTTTGTTTGGGATTTTCCACATTTATGACTTCTGTATTTTGTCTTTGCCGTATTACTATAGTATCAGAAGTAGTAGAGGTTGTGTCTATATACTGTATGAGTGTTTATATAAGAGGTATTGGCTTACATTTCAGTGTCTGCAGTCTCTTTTATTCTATGACTCTGAAACTGGACCTCTGGGCAGTTAACTGTGAAAGGTGAAAGCGTGGGGTAACCCTAACCTGCCACCACTTACACTGTCACTGCTGCTACAAATGGAGGCCAAGCTTCAGTGTAAAGTTGAAGCAGTCAGACACACAACACATAATTGACACTGATAACATCCGATAACAAGTTTTGTATTAGCATTCATAACTACTACTTGGCCCGGCCAGTCTTACTCTTTTAGTCTACTAATCAGTAGTACACAAGGTGGAGCCCAGTATACAGTCATAACTGCTGTAAATGCTTGAGCTCCACCTCCCAGTCTTGTCAGTCCTTGTGCGTGACACCCAGACCTGACATTCCTGTGAACAAGTTTGGCTGCCAGCTGGTGTAAGGTAGCATTTCAGGAAATCTCTGGATTGACCGCGCTTCCTTTAAGTTGATGTGGGTCCTTTCTCTGCCCCCTTCTGTGCTATTTTTACTTAGTTATGAGTGGGTGGGTTCATAGGGAACTTTGTAAAGCCCTCCTCTGTGCTGCGACTGCAGTGTGAGAAAGGAGCTGGCTCACTCTGTCGCCCCGTGGAGATCTTTTCTGTAACTTTTTGTCTGCTAAGGAGACGTAAAGGAAATACATGCTTTGGAAAATGTGGGTCCTTGAACTGAAGAGGATTTACTCTGTTTACTCTTAACTCACTGGATTACGGAAACTCGAGAGATTGTTCTGTTTCAAACTTCATGTTGTTTTGCTGCTTTGGCGTCCTGACTGGGACTTGTTGTGGAGGGAGGTAACAAACTATGGCCGACATCACCTGTGTCACTGCCTAGCAACGGGAGCTCTGCTTTAAGGTAAGAGGGCACAGAGGTCTATGGTGGGGCGGACTGTTTTTTATATTTATAGTGGCAACAAAATGACAGCGTGTGAAATGTCAGGGCATGAAGGACCAGACAGTAGCGGCATTGTTTTATAATACCGCATAATTACACCAAGTTTACAAAACACCTTCCACCTTGAGATACAGTCACTGTGTTTATCCATGAAATCCACTTCAGTTCACAATGGTGTATGTGTGGAGGTGGGGGTTCCTCTACATTAGAGTCAGTAAAGTCTGTCTTGCATTGTTGCACAGATGCTATGAGACGTCCAGATGTTATCTCACATGTTTCATATCCTCCCCGTAGATTGAACACGCGAGAGGAAGATTGAGCAACTGCTGTGTGTCTGACCACTTTTTTAGCTTCTTCTCTCTTATGATCCCCGAAACAGCGTTTTCAAATGTTGTTTTTCTCTTTGCATCCTGAAGGCGAGTCAGCAGTGGAAGAGGAATTTTATTGAAAAATAACCAAAATAACAAGGCAAATTGGCAAATAACTCCCATGGGCATATAATTATTGCTTGTTTATGCAGTCACAAAGCCTTCTTTCATATCATCTATGAATAGGAAAAGTGATTTTGATTTGAATTGGCAAAATTATTACGGAAAGTTTTCTCCTTTGTCAGTCAGGGTTGTAAACACAGATGAACTGATCTGACTTTTTCACTTTTTTTACACTCAGAGTTTCTGCAGATACAATCATCAATCTGATACTAGTGCTCTCTTTTGCCAATTGTAAAATCTGCATGCCTCACTGGCTGGAGCTCATTGGGATCATTTTTTTGTGAAGTTACTTAAGGGGAAAGGAACTGCTGTGACACTAAGTTGCTTTGACTGCTGTAACTTAATATAACTAATAGCAGAAACACTTAAACACTTGATTTTTATGACATTTGTGAAATTTAAAGTGGATTGGTCACATGTGGTTGATAACCTAAGTATCAGCCTCAATTCCAGCGGATCAGATCGATGCATATTTAGCTGCA